TGGTCAGTTGTTGTGCCATGCTTGCTCAACTTTCTTGGTCAGTTGTTGTGGCACGCTGGTCAATGGTAGCAGAAAATCCAAACACCTGGATGCAAAGCAAACACCTGAACAAGAGGAATTGGAAATAATTTCAAGGCTGTAGAGCAAACGATTACCCGCATCAGTGAGCAGAAGAACACAAACAGGCGCCGAGGTGGATTTCACTGCTGGGTATCTTTGAAGCAGCTGGGGTGGACCAAGCTGCTCGGTTCGTTGTGTATTATGTACGTATAGTATATATGTGACAGTGCTATATATATTACTAGCTGATACTATTTTGGAAGGCACATGGGTAAGCAGGTTGCTTCCTTTCGTGTCCGTGCACCGCTGCCAAGTGAGAAGGGGCTGGTACAGAAAAGTGCCGAACATGGCGCTGATGAGTAGCCATGCAATGTGGCCAAAGAGTTTGAGTATGAGGATACTCAAAAGCAGGAGGCCCGTCGCCAGGCTTCCATGGAGGTGGAGGCAGGGGATTGCGTGGTGGAAGCTGACAAGTGAGATACACAATTTGTTGTAGGACCCGGAGGGTACTCTCTGGAAGGATGATGTTATTCCCCACGAGGCCTTACAGTAAGGAACCTAGCTCATCAGCATTTCAGAGTGCATGCGCATGCACTTGCCTGTCTAAGCGCTCAAACGTGCAAAGGCGTGGTGGTGAGGGTGCCGTACAGCAGACGGCCTTTGCTGAGAGATCCGCAGCAAACGAAAAGACTCAATCTTTGCCAGTGTTGCAAGCAAATACTGACCCCTTTAGTGCCTTTGCCTATTTTTTTGGAAGTTTCAAGAAGCATTGTGTTGAGCATTGTTCATGGACTAGGACCTGACCGGCCTGATTAAGATCCAGTTGCCTCAGGCATCCTGCCGACATTTATTGATGCCCTTGGCAAGAAAATGGATAAGGGTGATGAGGCTGAGGACTGGGATCGGAATCTTATGAATGCATGTTGCTTATAGTTCATACCCCTCGTCCAGTGAGCAGGAGAAGTTGCGGAAGATTGAGTCGGATCGGGCAACCGCGTTTCTTGTCCCAGTAAGCACGTGCCATTGAACTGAACACTTGGGACTTGAGACCGTTGTGAAGCAAAATTGTGGATGTGACCCTGTGCTCACTCATGTTTTCAATCAATCAGGTTGGCACACCAAATCAAGACCAAGCTGAAGGACTTTGGCGCGAAGTACGAGTGTCTTTTGACTTTCCAACAGGATGCATGCGCTGTTGAGGTTCCTTCTTTGTCTATGCCTTAGGACTGTGTGTTTCGCAAGGTTTGCACAGCGCAATCTTGTGCTGGCCCGTTTACACTTGCTCCCCAGGCAGCAGAAGCAAGAACTGGTTAGTGCATATGTGGCTTGCACCAAGACAGATGTTGCCTTGAACACCTTGCTGAGCCGAGCCCGGACAATGAAACAGGTTAAGCCTAAGGCTAAGGCTGATCCAAAGAAGGGTGCAAAGCCTGGCGGTAGGAAGAGGAAGGACAAGCCCAAGCGTTCCAAGGGAGGGGAAGGTGAGGGTTCCAAGAAAAAGGCAAAGAAGGAGTAAGAGGGTAGATAGGTAGCCAGGCTGTAAGTTTTGCGTGGGTATAGATCACAATTGCTGATCTCTTTCACACAGTGCAGCTGTGTGATGGGACCCGTGCCACGACTGGTGCGTGGTTGATTTGGTCCCACTCAATCTAGGTCCACACCGGATGTGCTCCCAATACGTTGAAAACGGGCGATGCTCTTTTGGCTTTCACTTGAGTTTACGGTACGCTTTGCAGATAGTGCTTGCAACAGCCTTCTTGCTTCTGTTCTGAGCCAGGTCTCCATTGCCCTGACGGCCATGACTGTTTAGAGATTTGGTGTTGCCAGCCTGCCAAATGTTCTTTGTACGCGGCGGGTGGTCGTGACCTTGACCTTGGTCTGCAATCAGGCCAGCCACGTGCTGTTGTAGCAGTCGCGCATTACTTGACCAGCAGGCCTGGGGCTTGGCAGATGTGAAAATGATGACGCATCTTCTTCTGCAGAAGAGGCGCTGGCAAATGAGCTCATGGATGACTACTGTCTTGGGGCACCTTGATTTCCAACTGCTTTACCTTTGACGTGTGGATTCACTGAATAGGTTTGTAGCCTGTCTGAGGTAGAGACAGCTAAGCAAACGTGCAAAATTGCTTCAATGATCTGCAGGGTCAGAAAGAGTAGAAACTCGACGGCAAATGTCGTTGCACGTGCGTAGCTGTACCAAAGTTTGATTCATTGAAGCCTCATGACTGAAGGCAAGGCGGATCTTCTCCACAAATTGGGGAAGGGTGGCAGAAGCAGGACCAATGCCTGCAAGAACCTTCGTTCGCTCCTCAAGAGGAACAACCGATATCTGCCAGTCCCAATTGAATGCACTGGCGTGAAGATAAAACTCAAGAAGCCCAAGATCCGGAGGATTGATGTCTGGTGGCCAATACTGAAAGTGAAAGACTTCTGTGCAACTTTGTTTCAGAAGTCTCCTGGTGTGCTTTTGGGCGGCCATAGACTGTGTGATGTAGATGCTTGGAAGAGCATGCTGAAAATGTTTTGGAAGGACTTCAGGACCATAGACAGGTCCCATCCTTTCTTTGAAGCAGGGCTTCCAGAGGAGACATCCATTCCTGTGCATTTGCACGGGGATGAGGGGCGGGGCTACCGCTCCAAACCGTACATGGTCCTGTCGTGGCAGCCAGCAATTCCAAGTATTGGGCTTGATGGGCTCAATGAGAAAGGGTTTTCTGGCTGAAGTCTGTTTGGAATTCTTGTAGTTCGAAATCTTTGACAAAGCAAGTGTTACTTGTTGGCATGACTATAGGCATGCCTTCACCACCCGCTTCCTCTACACGTGCATTTCCTCTGTACTATTTGCAGAAGACTGCGCGATGGACGACATCAACTCAGCTTGGGCTGATGAGCTCCTGGAACTTTTTCAGGATGGACTTGAGGCGTTTAGAACGGGTTGCTCAACAGTTGGGTTTTAGTGTTCTCTCAATGCCATATGTCATGTCAATGCCAGCCAGGTAGGGTCACACCACTTTTACATCATTGTTCTTGGATGCAGGGGCGATTGGAAATACCTACGTGAGGCCAGCTGAGTAAATTTTGGCAAGCAACACTTTGTGCTCCTGGAAAGGCCTTTCACCTTTATCCCGGCTACCAGCACAAGATCAAACGGAAATGTCATTTGTGCATGGGCGAGGACTGAAACATGTTTTAGAGTATGGAGCACAAACAAGTACTCTTGCAGGACTGGGCGAACATGGGCGAGGATGCTGTGTGGCGTCAGACTATCAATGAGCATGCTTGGGTGTCTGCGTTCAAAAATGTTGAAGTGCCTTTGCGGAAGGTACCAGGCCTAGAACATGCAGGACGTGTCCTGCCAGACACAATGCACAATTTTCACTTGGGCTGGGGCCAGGACTTAGCCGCAAGTTCAATATGCCTTCTTGCCAGGTTCGATCTTTTTGACACCAGGTCTCGGAAATTTGATGACAAGTTGGAGGCAGCGCACTCTTCTTTTATGACATACTGCCATACCAACAAGAGGACTACCAATTGTGATGCCTTTTCAATTCTCATCTTTGATATGGACACGAAACTTGGCTGTCCCTTTCCCTTGCAATATGGATGTGTGCATGTGAGCCATGTACTATAGCAGCTGTTTCCCCAAATTGTAAGGCAATTTGATGGGGACCGGGATCTGCCCTCAGGAACAACAGCTGGCCCACTTCTGTGGGTGGAAAGGCCTATGATACTGGGCTGGCGCTATCGTGGCTGGAAGAGTTCATGAATGGTCAGGTTCCTGGATGGAATCTAGCTGTTAACTTGCTATATACATAGCTGAAAGAGCCTACTGTTTTTTGTTTGAGGAATGTGTTTTATATACATATGCAGCCTGCGCCAAACACAACTTAAGGACTGTGATGAGGTGGAGTTTCCAATTCTCCGCCACACTGTGCAGTCAGCCAACCGGTTCTTCAGGATGTTGCGAGAGAATGGGGTTTTTCTCTCTGACCCTGTCCGGGCTGAAGCCATGGAATGTTCAAAAGACATGTGTGAAACTAAGCTGAGGTCTAAGGCTGTTTTGGCGGGGTGAGTTTTCCATTTTTCTATCACCCAGGGACCCTTGAAGTTTTCTGGGGCTCACCGCTCCAAATCATTTAAGGAAGGCTATGGTTATTTGGCGGCCTTTACGAGAAGAAGAGAACTGCGGCTCTTCATGCTCAGACCCAAAGTCCACATGTCTATGCATACTACGTTATCTATGGGGTTCGGGGTGAAGGCCATCAATCCTCTTCGTCAACTGGTGAAAACATAGTGATGAGCACTGAAGCCCTTTTGTTTGGTGCTCAAGGTCAGTTTGTTTTTGAAGCGCTGCTGAACTAAGTCACTTCGTGTTGGATTGATGAGTCCTTCATTGGTGCTATTGCACGTCTTCATCGCACAGTTCACCCTATGAGGGGGAGCCTGAGGGTAATCGAAAAAGCCTTAGGTGTGTACAGGCTGAAATTGGAAAGCCTGGTGACTAGGTGGCCACCCTAGCTACCAAAGCCCAGAAGGCAAAAGACTAGTTCAACTAGTTCCCATTCAGGCTGAGCTTCCCGACGTTGTGCGGTAGCGTAGTTGAAGTGCGCGAGGCGTGTGCGAAGGGAATGGAAAACCGGTTGTGATGGTGCATGTTTATGCACTAGGGGCAGGGGTGGTTGCATGTTGATAAGATGTTGGGATATCATGGTACCATACAACATCTAAAACCCTTGAAATCCTTCTTTTCTTTCAAACTCCTTGAAATTCTCGGATTCCACTGGAAAACATATGGTCTACTTAAACGACTGCTTTATTCTCGGAGAAGTAATCTCCAGGTACATATGCCTTCGAAATTGCATTTCATATGGCACTCATGTGTTGGCTTCATTCTATTGAACGGGCGTTTCTACACGCTGTGGGCGTATATAGCTTGTCAGGAGCCAGAGGAGGATGAGGAAGGGGACAGCATGCCAAATATGTGCACTTCGACGACCCCTTTGGATCCATCCTTGCTGACCCTCTCGGATGTGCCACCTGCCAAGGTGCGCGACATGGGAGGAAAAGGGAGGAGAGTGTGTTTTCATGTCGTTTTTGGTGTCAGTTTATCGGTGCTCATCGGGTTGATCCCTTTTCCAGGTGTTGGCGACTCTTCACTTGGACTTGGTGAAGGAGCGCAACAAGCTGAAGGAACCTCCAAAGCCTTTGCCCAACGCACCCTTCTTCCTCCCTACTGCGCATGAGGGCGTCACGCCCCGCTTCGCAGCACCACTGGGAGACGAGGAGAACGAGGCTCCAGAGCCAGAAACCACTGGGCGGCGGCCATCACTCTTTGAGGAGCTTACCGAAGAGAAGGACAAGATGGCGAGCTACCCATCTTGGGTTTGCAGGGACGATAGATACATATCTCATATATATATATATACAATATTATTATGATTAAGGTTGAAGTTTTAGGGGGTATGTACGGCACAGGATTTATGAGTAGATGTTTTGTAAGGGTAGGAAAGTTCTCCAATGTTCTCCAGATCGCAGGTGTTCCAAGGGTAGGAAAGTTCTCTAATGTTCTCCAGATCGCAGGTGTTCCACACCTCACAAGCATCTCGTGAATTCCTTGTATGACCCTCTTGTTTCCACCACAAGAGACCTTGAACATGTTCAAAAGCAACGAAGATCGTTTTCCCACTTTTGAATATAAAGCACAACCTTTTTCAAGGGACAAAAGAGGAAGAGCTGCTCCAAAAGCTCAGGCTTGCCCTTCCAAAGCTTTCTTCGGAAAGGCCTCTACGACAAGGCCTTGGAATTCCTCAAGTGCCAGACGCCGTCGGGAGTGCACCTGGCTTTGGAGCAGATCGGCCCAATGGCTGGCGGAGGTGAGCAGGAGTTGGAAGCAGGTGTGGTATCTTCCAGCGTTGCGGGGCAATGGGGATATGTCATGTGTGAAAAAGCAATTGCTGGCTTTTGGAACTAACAGGCCACAGGCGTTCCACGCAGTTTCTTGTCTAGAACTGATATTTTACTAACATGGAAACGCCTGTAACCTCCTGAACAGTTTATGTACAGGCACAGGCACGAGATACAGCGTGTTCTTGCAGGACCCAAGCGCAACACCAAGAGAAACATTGGAACAATCAGAAACCTAGAATCATAGATTCTTTTGTGGCTGCACAGGCACTGTCGCTTTTCCCTTCGAGGCCTCCAGTTCTTCCTCCACCATGTGACCTCCTCACACTTCGCCGATGAGGCAAGAGGACGGTGGACGGTGAAGGCATCCAGCCTGACTATATACTTCATTGAGCCAATGTGGAAGTAGAGCGGAACCCTCCTGCAAAGGCAATGTTGAGAAGATAAAGTGGGTCGAACGAGAGAAAGCGACTGCTGAAAAAAGTTCTTTAAACTGATTACTACAACGTAGACACGCATGATACGGCGAAAAGATGAACCTTGCAGAGCTCTTGCCTTTGCAACCTGTTCTCCGTCCGGCGATGCGGAGAGAACGGGCCTTCTTGGGCAATCGGGACTCGACAGCCAGGTTCAAGCGTACCTTTCATTGTTTCTGATGGCTCATGGAGAGGAGATCGCTTCCTCCAAGGACACATGGGTTGCTTCATTATGGCTCATGAGAAGCCCGGCAACCTCCGGCACGGATAATCCTGCGGGGGCTCAACCGGCCTTTTTTGCAAAAATAAGTGCGCAATCCAGTGATTTGTGAGATGCTACTTTTACTGTTCTTTATTTATGATGTCGAAAAATACTGAAGAACTGAGTTTTGATCCCACAGGTTCTGATAAGCTTTTGTTGGAAGATCGTTGGCCTCTTGGCGTCTCTGAGCTACCTTCTTGTTTGCCGTTGCTTTGGTCTGGGTGTTCGGTGCTTTCACGCTTGCCGAAGACGCGATCTCCGTCTCTCGTTGTTTTGTCATCGGCAGCCTTTGTTCTGTTTCGTCGTTATTTGCGAGCGCGTCCCTCAGAAGCTACGGATGCCGTCTCCAGTGGAGTGTCTGGTGCCATCACTGCAGAGTCGACATCGGCCCACACAGGCACCCTCAATGCTCGGTGGACATGTTTGAAAGAGCAAGTTACGGCTTCGTTGTGCACGTGGCTAAAGACCAAGAAACTCAACCCCTTGCTTCCCCACTATACTTGGCAATTCCAATGGCGATCTGTGCAAAAGAATCAGAACTGACTCAAAAGGACAGGGCAAACGATGTATGCAGAAATGTTTGGATGAGCTTTGTACGTCGCAGGAGAAAAACAACTGCCAACACCCCCAATGAACAACGAAAGCAATCGGATCAACCGGAGACATCAACATTTCAACCAAAGAGTCCAAGTATAGAACCTGTTCACGACAGGCGAATTAGCAAAACCCACACAAGAGACAAAACATGCGTGTCCCCGTCCGACATTCGCCGAAACTGCGACGTAAGTAACCAAAATCGTGCAAAAATGAACGTCATTGCCACTTGCCACACGCCAGCCTAAGTAAACCGCCTAAGGGTCCAGGT